CTCTCCGTTGAGGGGGCTGTGGGCGACCCAGCGAAGGTCAGCCCTAGAGGATACCACGAAGGTCACTCTAGCCAGAGTCTTTTCCAACTCCTTTTCCTCCTTCCACTAGTTGATTCTGAGGCGGCGGAATCGACTATTACAAACTTTCCGAGGCACACCACAATCTCTCGGGTGCTCTCCGGCGACGTCTAACCGTCTAGGACCGAAGAGTCCAAGAGTAATAAATGCGAATCACGAGATTGACAATATGCACAAGTGCTCAAGTGGTTGGATTTCTTTCTTTTTGAATTTCACTCAACCCATAATTTGATTTGGCAAATTTGATCAATCACTCACTAAGAGAGGGTTGGGAGAGTTGGCAAGGCTCAAAAATGTGTATGTGTATCAGCAGAATCAGTGGCCTCCAAAGGTGGAGGCTTGGGGGTATTTATAACCCCCTTTGAAAAACTAGCCGTTTTATAGCTGTTGCCATACGTATACTGGACACGTCCGGTATGACTTACACTGCCCCAACGGTAACTAAGTTATAGTGACAATGTGAGGCGTCGGAACTCCTGATGAATGTTGGAACTCCCGACTGTCGGAACTCCTGATCCTCAGCATATCTGAAAACTTAGTAACTAAGTGGAAGTTTGTGAGGTGTCGGAACTCCCGACTCATGGCGGAACTCCCGACCCTCAAGGCTTTTGAAAACTAGCCGTTGGCCTCTGGCCGTTCATACCGGACACGTCCGGTATGACCAGGACAGTGAACCCTCTAAGTCAGTTAAGTGCGAAACATTAGAACTCCCGACCTATGCCGGAACTCCCGACCGTCGGAACTCCCGATGAACCAACCCGAGAACAACAAGAATATTATCGTTGCTGGGCACATACCAGACACGTCCGGTATCAATATGCCAGACCAACAAAACATAAGTTAGCTCTTTTGTCTCTCAAATACTCAAAACTCACATGGGTTGGCTTGAGCACTTATGAAATATTATCTATCAACATGATGCATCCCTCTTAATAGTACGACATTCCTATTAACTCAAAGTTAAAAGTATAACAAATTTAAACCTTTTGAGTTGATTTCTTTCAACCGAAGCTGTGTATTCCAATCTTTATCAAGTGAGGGTGCTAACATGTCAACTTTGATCTTTTTCACTTGAGCATAGCCATCTTGAGCACGTGACTTGATTCCATTCATCAAATTTGAATAATCCCAAATGTATCAAGTCACATCCATCAAACACTCCAATAGTGATTTGATCCTCCACATAAACATGACCATCATAGCTTGATTTGTACCTCAACTAAATGCAAGTACTTCCTTCTTCACCCTAGTTAGGTTCTTCGGTCGCCAAGCCGTCGCTTGCCCTTTACCCTTGCTTAGTACCTCAAAGCCTTTCCTTGCTATCTTCACCATCTCAAGTCATCAAGTCACATCTTATATTGAATCATCCATTCATGTATTGTTATCTTTTTCATTTCAATTTAGCAAGCTTCAAATATGAGACCATTCCATATGCAATTCCTCATGTCTCATCAATTAATACTTACGAGCTTGCTTTCACATAGTACATGGAAATCCCACAATAAATAAGCCTTTGCATGAATTTCATTTGCATTGTTGTCTTATTCTTGAACTAGATTGTTTATACAACAACACATCATTTTGGCTTTCATTAAGTACCTGTGAGATAACCTATTACCTGTCCTCACTTAGCAAACGGGTTAGACCTTTAATCATGTTGTCATTCAATCATCCAAAACCCACTAAAGGGCTAGATGCACTTTCATTCTCCCCCGTACACGCCTTGATCTTGTGGGTTGGGCCACCCCTGGAGGCGCAGCCCATGTGGCCTGCCATGGGTATCCGGGGTTGTACCCCCCACAGGCGTCGATTTCGGGGCCGTTTGGTATGGCTCTTGGACCAGCTCCAGGAGCAGTTCCGCAGCTCCACCAGCCAAATGTGAGAAAATGGATCGGCTCCGCGTCAAGAGCCGCGGAAAACCCGCTGAGAGGAGAGGAGAGAGAAAATTCAAGCCGAAAAAACAAGTTTCTCCAAGCTTTGGCCGGTTGCCGTGGGCCCCGCGCAGGGTGATGGGCGTTTTTGCCCCGACCGAGCCGTGCGAGCGCGCGAGGCCGCCGCCGCCGCGCGGGCGCGAGGTCGCCGGAGCTCTGTGCGCGAGGCCGTCGGGGGCGGGCGGCACGGGTCCATCGGATGCCGGGCTGCCGGGTGGAGGCACAGTGCTGTGGGCGGAGGAGCGCGGGGAGGTACGGGATGAAGGGCGCGCGGAGGAGGGAGCTAGTGTGGGGGAGGACGCGGCGCCGCCGGTGGACCATGGCCGAGAGCGCTCTCAGGCGCAGGCGGCGGCGGGATGGGAGCGCGGCCTCCAGAGGTTGAAGACGCGAGTGGACGCATGCGGCTGTGCGGTTGCAACGTGAGCGACCGGATAAGGTATAGGGAAAGAAAAAAAGGAAAGAAAAGAAAAAGAAAAAGAATAAGAGTATTATGCAGATTTCACCCTAAATCTACAAGCATATAACAAACACGAGGAGCTGTTCAGTCAGGGGTATTTTGGACATTGTCCCTATCTTAGCTATTCATAATAGATATGAGGAGTTGTTCAGCCAAACGGTTTCCTAAAACAGCTCCAGCTCTACCAAAGAATCTGCTCCAGCATAAGATCCAGAGCCAGAGCAGTTTTTGAGGAGTCGGAGCCCTAGCAAGCGGCCCTAAAGTCCAGGGCGGTTACAAATGCACGACGGATCACGGATGTGGGTGCGGTGCCGTGGGCCGTGGCAGCGCAGCCACAGTCAAAGGAAGCGCACGACGAAGGCCGTTCAACCGTTGGGTCCAGCTGCACTTCCATTCCAATTGCTTGTTTTCTTCGGCCGGGCTGCGGTGCTACCGGTAATCTGGATTCTAGAATGCATGCAGCCCTGACAATGACAAGCGAGTTTGCTCGTAATCCACTAGCCCAGCAGGCAGCAGATGTGTTTGCTCAACCTCCCCACTCACGTGGCCTCATAAGTGCGACGACACCCACCGCACCCATGGGCCCCAACCCTCTGCATGTGGAGCCCACACGATTTAGCTCGTCGTGGGTCGGCCCAGGGCCATCACGCGCTTCTTTAGACTTGTACTGGCGCGCGTGAGCGAGCGTGACGAGGTCAGTTTGTACAGTACGCGACCATTTTTGTTCGCCTCTGAAATTTGTGTCTCACTAGCAAATAGAAGTACCTCTATGTGGCTTGGAAAACTTATTGATTTAGTGCATCTTCAAAAGTTTCTAAGCCCACTTTTAATCTTAATTTTTAGTAAGATTGAAAAAAAATCATTTTCCAACAACTCCTTATCTCACCTCCTAATTTCTCGGGACACGGGAAGGACGTGGAGAAAAATGAGGACTAAGGACAGGATTCTCAATGTAAATATATAGGAGAGACATATAAAAATGGTTGTGGATAATTTGAAAACAGTACACGATTTCTAATGCAAAATTCTCTTCTATGTTTTGGGAGTGAGATTTTAAAAATGGTTGGAGGAACCAAATAAATATGCTTCCAACTTATTTTAGCCATTTGAGAAACTTATTGATTTACCAATTGATTTTTGTATTATTATTGCAGATGCTCTTATACAACAATCATGCCATTGTTCTAATATGTCTTAGGGAAGCTCCAATAATACTAAAATAACTAGCTCGTAGAATATTTTTTATTTTATTCGATAACAATAAGATAGAATAATAAGTTTGCTCTTTATGAAGAGCTAAATTCACGCACTTTCGTATGATTTATATGTGTATGCTCATACTTCTTTATACTAGCATGTTGGATTACTCTATTTTATCTTTTTTTTTAAAATTTATATGTGTTAGCAAGTTGGTTTTTGTTATTTTTGAAAGGGAAGTTGGCTTTTGTTATCGAAGGTGCTCTTGGAATTGAGTCCCCTTAACATGGCTAGACATGTATTGTCCGAAATATGGTTTCTTTCTTGCTGAATTTGGATTATGCTAGCTTTTTTTATTGTAAATATGGTATTATATTGGATATAAATGGGTGCATTCGTTGTAGCTTTTTCTGGCTGCGGTTGCGGCTTCGGCTTCGGCTGCTACTTCTCTAGTTCAGACTATAATAAACTATAGTTATAGAGTTGGACTTAGGGTTTAGGATTAGGGGTTTAGACAGTCAAACACACTCATTGGATTTGTTCGCTTATGCTGAAATTTGGTTTATGCTGAAATGTTGTGAGAGAAAAACACTGTTTCATGACTAAAAAGTAGCTCAAGCGAACAGGCTAGATGGCGAGAGTGAGATGCAGAGAGGAGAGTGAAGCATGATGAGATGGATTGCCTGACGAAAAAGTACACGAAAAAAATGTGAGAGAAATATTTTCTTTTCAATATTAAATATATAAATATAAATTTATTATGAGTCAATCGGTCATCAAGCCGAATGTTTGTTCACGCTCAATCTTCGATAAAAAAATAAAATATCTCCACTACGCGTGCTTTAGCTAATACCCGACCCATTATACAGCGGTGGCCGGTGGAGCCGAAGCCGGCAAAACCTCTGTCAAATAGCCCAACATACTCCGCTCTATCTATTCTTCTTCCATTACTTAACCCCTTCCTTTACCCAGCGTGCGCGCTCACCTCCTTCTCTTTCTGTCGGCGGCGACTGGGCGGCCGTCGCTGCCGCCCTGCGCCAGGTGCCCAGGTCTTCTTCGGGCCCTTCGCCGTCGCCCGGCGGCAACCACCACCAGGTACGCCACACCCCTGGGTCTTCCCTTCCTCCTGTGCGAAACCGAGCACCCAAACGCTAACTTGATACTGTATTCGGATCTGATCTAATTACAAGTATATATGCATGTACATTAAGATTGTTTTGCAAAGATCCGCCCCTGAGCCGTAGCATTCTATTTCTATGTACATTCCTAATAAGGATGACTAAATAGTGCAAAAAGTTCATGTTTTCGACTGTCTAATTCCTCAGGGTAAGTAAGCCATGGCTTTGAAGGCGAGCTCCGGCGACAACCGGACCAGGAGCACGGTGTTCCTCTGCATAGTGATTGGCATGTGCTGCTTCTTCTACATCCTCGGCGCGTGGCAGAAGAGCGGGTTCGGCAAGGGGGACAGCATCGCGCTGGAGGTCACGAAGCGCACCGACTGCACCGTCTTGCCCAACCTTAGCTTCGACACCCACCATTCTAAAGCTACTAGTGGCGGCAGCTCTAGCGATCTTGTTTCGCCGGCGAAGAAGTTCAAGCCGTGCGCTGATCGCTACACAGATTACACCCCCTGCCAAGACCAGAACAGGGCGATGAAGTTCCCTAGAGAGAACATGAATTACAGAGAGCGGCACTGCCCAGCGCAGAAGGAGAATCTGCACTGTCTGATCCCACCTCCAAAAGGTTATGTGGCTCCGTTCCCGTGGCCCAAGAGTCGGGACTATGTCCCTTTTGCAAATTGCCCGTATAAGAGCTTGACGGTCGAGAAAGCCATTCAGAACTGGGTTCAGTATGAGGGTAATGTGTTCAGATTCCCTGGTGGAGGGACACAATTCCCGCAAGGAGCCGATAAGTATATTGATCAGCTTGCATCAGTCATTCCGATCGCCAATGGAACTGTCAGGACTGCACTTGACACTGGTTGCGGGGTAAGAGGAAATGCCAAACTGCGTATTGCTCGTTGCTAATTCGAGATAGGTTACAAAGTCTAGTTCATGTCTTAACACACCATAACTATTTCAGGTGGCTAGCTGGGGAGCTTATTTGTTGAAGAGGAATGTCTTGGCCATGTCGTTTGCGCCAAGAGATTCGCACGAGGCACAAGTGCAGTTTGCTCTGGAGAGAGGTGTCCCAGCTGTTATTGGTGTCCTTGGTACAATAAAACTTCCCTATCCATCGAGGGCCTTTGACATGGCCCATTGTTCCAGGTGCTTGATTCCATGGGGAGCAAACGGTGAGCTTAATCATGCGTCCTCTTATATTCTGCATCAAAGCAAAAAAATTCAGGGATTGTAACTATCATTGATACTTAGAACATTCATTTATGTTTGATGCAAGTCATTTTACAACCTGAAATTGTTTTCGCATTTTCACAGATGGAATGTACATGATGGAAGTTGATAGGGTTCTAAGGCCTGGTGGCTACTGGGTGCTGTCTGGTCCTCCAATTAATTGGAAGGTGAACTACAAGGGTTGGCAACGCACAAAGAAGGATCTTGAGGCAGAGCAGAACAGAATAGAGGAAATTGCTGACCTTCTATGTTGGGAAAAAGTCTCAGAGAAGGGTGAGATGGCAATATGGAGGAAAAGGATGAATACTGAGTCTTGCCCTTCTAGGCAAGAAGAATCAACTGTGCAGATGTGTGAATCAACAAATCCAGATGATGTCTGGTATGCTGTTCATGTAATCTTGTTAATAAGATCAGTCATTTGAACAGAGTGCTTTGGTTTGTATGGTTCTTTTCTGTTCCAAATTCTTACAAACTACTGCTACTTCATCAGGTACAAGAAGATGAAGGCCTGTGTGACACCCCTTCCAGATGTAAAAGATGAAAGCGAAGTAGCTGGAGGAGCAATCAAACCCTTCCCAGCCAGGCTCAATGCAGTTCCTCCAAGAATTGCTAATGGTTTGATCCCAGGGGTTTCGTCTCAGGCCTTTCAGAAAGACAATAAAATGTGGAAGAAGCATGTGAAGGCTTACAGCAGTGTGAACAAGTATCTGCTTACTGGTAGATACAGGAATATTATGGACATGAATGCAGGACTTGGGGGATTCGCTGCAGCAATAGAGTCCCCAAAATCTTGGGTGATGAATGTTGTGCCAACCATCGCAAAGATGCCCACCCTGGGGGCTGTGTATGAGCGAGGATTGATCGGCATATATCATGACTGGTTTGACATTTTATACTTGAATTGTGTGCTCACAAAAGTAGTGTGCTAGTTATCATGAACTTACATTTTTACACTACCCTATTGCAGGTGCGAGGCTTTCTCTACTTATCCAAGGACATATGATCTTATCCATGCTAACGGCCTTTTCACCTTGTATAAAAACAAGTAAGCTACTCGTCTTTTGTAGTGAATTCATAGCTTGCATTGCCTGTGCTGATCTATTTTATCTATTGAAACTACCAACAGGTGCAGCATGGAAGATATTCTCCTGGAGATGGACCGCATCTTGAGGCCTGAAGGTGCCGTCATAATACGGGACGATGTTGACGTCCTGACCAAGGTGAACAGCCTCGCTCTGGGTATGAGGTGGAACACGAAGATGGTTGATCACGAGGACGGCCCCCTCGTGCGCGAGAAGATCTTATATGCCGTGAAGCAGTATTGGGTTGGTGGGAATCAGACGGCTGTAGCTTGAAGCAAGCACGTTTCCGAGGTTCTAACATGAGGAATTCTGCAACCCAGCCTTACCCGACGAACAAGAATTAGCTTAGGATTCATCCTGTGGCAAGGAAAATGGTCAACCCTTGTAGGGGTGGCACTGAAGCAGCCAGGATACCGTGCTTGGCTGGTGATCGCTGCACCACGTAATGTTGGTAACAATTTTTGGAATTCTTCGTTGGTCGTGTACTCTATTCAAAAGCTTGTATCATAGAAGATTTCTTTACGGTCCCCGTACTGATTTGGGTGTAACTTATCAATTAGAGTAGCTTTCTGTAAGCAAGAAATACAAGGTTTTTTTTTGGACAACCCAGGTCTATTTATGTAGTCCTGAATGATCCTGAAGAAAAAGGGCTGCTTATGGCTCTACTGTTGCAACTTGGAACATGCTGGCGCCAGGCATAACTTTGACGCCAGAATTTTTTGTTTTCTTTGAATCTATGGCCATGAGCTCTATCTGCTGTACCATACATTCAAGAAGAATTACAAGTTCAGAATACTTGACCTCCCGAGACAAACACCACAAACATCAAAACGCTGCAACCAAATTGGAACAGCATCTGATCACTGATTTCGGTGTACCTTTCTGTAAGCAAGTACAGATCTTAAAAAAAATTTGCGCGCCATGTGCGCCCTATCAGGCACTCGTGGAGCATCTTGTAAACAAGTGATATCACAGGTCATTCTTTATCGTGGAGGGAAATCGGACACAAATATGCATATCAACGTTTTGACCACCTGTCTCATCGAGGGTTATTGATTTTGACCTAGTTAACCTAGGAAATGCTGATCGGAGGAATACAATTTTCCATTCAAAGCAAACACATTGTTCAGAATCAATAATCTGATAGTACATGTCCACGGACCAGGAATACTTGCAGCTCGAGATAATTGGGCTGACGTTTATCAAACAAAAAAAGATAACAGGGCTGACCGCAAACAATTTCCAGTACACTGATAAATCACCAGACTGCAGTTCAAACAGATCAATTCTAGAGGTTGGGCACAATATTAAGGGTAGTAACTGAGAGCTAAAGCCTACAGTTAGTGGCACCATATACCCATGGCAACACACGACCCATCTCCATCTACATAAGTTAGCTACTCAAGCTGAGAAACAAACTCCACACAAGTTTCACATCCGGTTCCAAAAGAGACATGCGGGCTCCCTCTTCCTCTTCGCCTTTGCTGGTCTTCCTCATCCTGTCAAGAGTTAGTTATTAGTGTTTAGGCAGTTGATACGTAGCCTTCTTTTTCATGGCTCAGAACAACATATTGAAAACAGAGTTAGTCTAGCATTTAGTTCCTAAACCAACCTTTGTGATGTGATGGCAACAGGACTCTAGTGCTCAAGAACAAGTGGAAAATTCTCCAGCTTATGAAACTGACCTTTATGGCGTGAATCATGCAATTCCGGCTTTTCTTCAACGACAATCTCAGCGGCTGAGAAACCCTGCAATTATCTCATGAGATTTACCAAATAGGCGCTACAGATATTTGCCTTTCAATGATTCAACAGGTCACATGATTGCTAGACAACACTCCAGCAAAGCTTCATATGACAGGAGATGATCAATACAATGTTAAAAGAACATTAACAGGTTAACAGGCAAACCACTATGTCCCTGAAATATGGTGTGTCATGCGTTGCGGTCATAATGGAAACAAAGTACAAGAACAAGCATAACATGTAACAAACAGACTACATTTTCATAATGCACATGGTGGCTGGGTAAGCAGGAACTTCCAACAAGTTTGGACTAAGCATATAAAAGGTGCAAACTTAACAGGTTTACTTTTACACCATCTCCCCATGCTGTGCTCAGTATGTCCCACCATCTGAATTAAAGTTTTACAGGAAGCAACATTACAAAAGACAACGGAAGGAAGGCCCTGCTATTATTTTATCTAAGAATGACCACCTGACAAGATAAAGATATTTCATCAACACTTCATTAACGTTAAGAATTATAGTTGATTGCCCAAATCTTCTCCTTAAAAGTTAAAAGGCTTATTGAAAGTTCAAAGGTATAGGAATAATACATTACCCCTTGGCATCAGTGCAGCACCCAACCCATCTTTACCAATTACCATTCAGGGACCTAAGGTGTGGCAACATGATATTATGCATTTGTGTGGGATGGTGATATGCACATAACAATAGATAATAAAAAGTAGAATGCTAAAAAAATATTATCAGAGTAAAGGGTGAATCACAAGCCAAAATGAGTATCAGGGTGTCAAAAGAAGAATTTTATACTAAATTAGATTAACTGTTGTCAACTGATTTATTCGAGGTGCAAAATTCAACCTGCATTTTCATGAGTCAGATCCGCAGCGGATGTAACTCCTTCATTAATCATCTGTTTACTGGATGCTTCACGCTGGATCTTCTTCTGCTTGTGGCCACTCTTCATTGGTCCACCACTTGGGATTCCAAAAACTTTGCCACTTCGTTTTCGTAATCTCCTGACTGTAATCCCAAGGTTCACTAAAGCTTTCCCACACTTTGGAGTTCCTCGTTCTCCTAAGCGAGAGGATGTACACTCAATGGGAAGAGAAATCATCTCATGTTCACTTGAACAGCGGTCCATACTCTCTTGTTCAACATCATCAGAATCATATTTGATTGAACTGGAAAAGCTGTCACTTAAGAACTTCTTCATGTAATATTCAACTGAATGACTTGGTGCATTCGCAGTAGATTCTGATGGTGATCGTGCATGTTCATTATCCAGCTCCATCTTTGGATTAACAAGCCTATGCCATAGAATTGGAAAGCCAAACTTAAAGCATTCGCACACCTACATAAAATCAAGGATCAGTAAGATGGGTATCTGAAGGATTAAGGAAAAAAGAATATAATAAATCGGTGCACAGGGCTGCCCATTGTTTTAGTAGCAATGCTTCCAAAACTCCGGTCCCTGGAGACCAATCATAGCAATTACCTCCTCAGAAAGTCCATTCTCACGTGTTTTGGGAATATTCAAGAGACGGGCAATCCGTATAAGGTAACCGTCCTCGGACTCAACTGTGGTGTAATCATGGCGCCTCACAATGGCAGAAGATCTGAACACTCGGCTTGCCAACGATGCTCCTTCCCTGTTTCCATGTAGGCTACAGCACCGTGAGATCAATTGTGGAGTACCAACGGAAATTGTTTGGCATCATTTTTTTTTTCTGTACTACCATTGAACTTCTCAAATTACCAAAGAAAAATACAATCTACTGAATTTCTCTAATCGTGGACGAGAAAGCGGCATTTTTCACACATGATGCACAACTAAAGCACATTTGGGAGAATGAAATCGTTAAAATGGAGCAGCAGAGGAGATGCTTCATTTGCGGGGTGTAGGTGGTTCCAGCGACGCGGATCTTGCCCTCCTCGCCCTCCACCCTCTCCAGGCACCAGTCGACGAGCACAGCCTAAGAGAGAGAAAGACGCCACGAAGGAACACATCAGCCCACCGGACTACGCAGCGCGCAAAGACGAAAAATGGTACGGGGAGGGCGGAAGGGAGGGTGAGAGGGCGCGTACACATCTCCGTGAGGCGGGGGGGCTGGCCTGGGCGGAGGACGCCGTCGGGGCCGAGGGATCCTGGCGGTAGAGCCCGGCGGGGGCTGGGACGGCATTCCCTCGGACTGTCTGTCACGACGCCGCACCCAGTAAGCACTGAGCCAAGAGGAGTATTCGCAGGAGGCCCGTGAACAAAAGAGTGACCGGTGCAGAATGGGTCTGTAATATCTGTGAGCCTAAACCCAGCAGTGAGTAGTAGAACTAATGGAAGAAAGGAAGAATGGGTCTGTAATATCTGTGAGCCTAAACCCAGCAATGAGTAGTAGAACTAGTGGAAGAAAGAAAGAATGGGTCTGTAATATCTGTGAGCCTAAACCCAGCAGTGAGTAGTAGAACTAGTGGAAGAAAGGAAGGAAGGAAGAAATCAACCAACAACTCTATAAAGACAAACCTAAATCACTCTATCGGTCAACAGCCTGTCCGGCGAACCTCGAATCCCTTTCCCGAATTTCTCGGCGCCGCCGCAGCGAGCGTCGACGACACTGGTACCAGAGCCGTCGATCCGGCGCCTCCAAGGGCTGGATCCGCCGCAGCCACACCCCCACTTCACCCATCTTCAGCGCGCCAGGGGAGTCATGGATCCCAACGTGCGCTCGCTCTTCGACGAAGTACTCAAGCGGATCGACGACCTCCGCACCGATTCCAGCGGTCGATGGGAGCGGTGGGAGCGCCGCTTCGAGGAGGCGACATCTGAGCTCCAGGAGCAGGATGAGGCTGTGGACCGTCGCATCAAGTCGCTGGAGGAGTTTGCCTCGGCACAGTACACCGCCGCCGTCGTCGCCAACAACTGGGGGGGCACTTCGACGAGCGAGTCTCTGACCTCGAGTAGAGGATGGTGGATCTCGAGCTGATCTGCATCCACGAGATCAACGACGAGCGCGACGACAGGGTAGCCGCCATCGAGACCGCCGTGGAGGAGCTCGTCAGTTGGCGCCCGGAGGTGGACGGCCTGATCGACGATCTTGGAGGTGAAGAACCTCCGGTCGAGTGGAGGTCGCGCTGCAGTGGAGCTGCCCACATCGGGTACCCTACGGTAGCCGGAGTTGGTCACCGCGCGCTCATCTGCCGGGACTTCGACCAACTGGCCCAGCGGGCACCGCGTCGAATCGACTACACGGGAGAGGGGCTATGGGTTGGTCACAACCATAGCTCCGAACCCGGCCAATGGTATGCGCAGATTTCCCGATTCCCCTCCTTCCGCTCCATATCCCCGTCCTCCTCCTACTCCCAACCCTACCTTCAACGTCGTGGATGCCCACCTTCCTCCCCCACCACCAGATCCTTCCCCAATCCACCCCCAATCCTCCCACCTCGGCCAATTACCCAAAATACATTTTCCCCAATTCGATGGTACTACACCCCAACTATGGATCACTCAGGCCCATTCCTACTTTGATATGTACTTCGTTGATCAATTCATGTGGGTTCGCGTGGCTACAATGCAATTCACCGGTGTAGCCAAGCGCTGGATTCAATCCATTGCACACCGCCTTGAACACATTGGTTGGTAGGACTTCTGTGCAATGGTGCATGAGTGTTTCTGCCGCGATCAGCACGAACTTCTCATCCGCCAACTATTCCACATTAAGCAAACCACTTCGGTTCAAGAATACGTCGATCAATTTGTTGATCTTATTGAGCAACTCTCGGCCTACACACCTAACCTAGATACCCTCTCCTACACCACACGTTTCATCGATGGCCTCCGCGACGACATTCATTTTGTTGTTCTTGTTCAGCGTCTCACCGATCTCGATGCTGCTTGTTCGCTTGCCCTTTTGCAGGAGGAGGCCGTTGAGCCGATTCGCCGACGAGAGTTCCGACGTACTGATGCTCCCACATTCCTGAAGCCGGCAGCACCACGGGGTCGTTGCCGCTTCCTGCTCCTCCCCAACGACTGGCTCTTCCAGGTCCTCCCGTGCCGCCAGAACCGAAGCACCGTCCTAAAGACTGTCGTCCTGACTTTTGCCTCATCTCAGTGGATCACAAGTTGTAGTCCCTCCATTCTTACAGGAAAGCTCGTGGCCTCTGTATGCATTGTGGAGAGAAATGGCACCAGGGTCACAAATGCTCTCCGGCTATCCAGTTGCACGCATTACAGGAGGTGTGGAATCTTTACGAAGAGCTGTTCACCGAGACAGAAAGTTCAGAGCCCGACACTCCTGTTATGGCAGATCAGTCCTTCATGCTCATGTCTGCTGCTGCTATTTCTCCATCATTCCACCCCAGAACTCTGCAATTTCAAGGCATGCTCCAAGGCAAGAGTATCAACATCTTGTTAGATTCTGGGAGCACCAACTCGTTTTTGGATACCAACTTGGCAGCGTCTTTTTAGGGGGTCTAGCAGTTGTCAGTTCCCACCTCTGTGAAGATTCCCGATGGCGGATCAGTACCTTGCACTGCTCAAATTCCGTATGCAGAGTGGTCTATTCAAGGATATGTTTTCCATTCTACCCTCAAGCTCATTCCCATTGGCACATATGACATGATTCTGGGAATGGATTGGTTACAGGCGTTCTCACCCATGAAGGTTCATTGGCTTCAATGTTGGGTTCAGATTCCTTATGGTCCCCACACTGTGGTGTTACGTGGCAGTCTTTCAGAGCAGCTGGGTTGTTCAGTAGTTCAGCTCCATCATTTGTCCGCTGAAGGGGATGATTTTTCTTCATCGGGGCACAGTGATCTGTCGGAGATTCAGGCGCTGTTGTCTCAGTTTCAACATTTATTCAGGTTACCGACCGAGCTGCCTCCACGTCGGGCTTGTGATCACTCCATTCCCCTCATTCCAGGGGCTCAGCATGTGTCGGCCCATCCTTATCGCTACTCGCCGGCCTTGAAGACAGAGATTGAGGCTCAGGTGATAGAAATGCTAAAGTCTGGCTTCATTCGCCCTAGTACCAACGCTTTCTCTTCTCCAATTCTCTTGGTCAGGAAGAAGGACAACAGCTGGCGCTTTTGCGTCGATTACCGCCAACTCAACGCACTCACTATGAAGAGCAAGTTCCCCATTCCGATCATCGATGAACTTTTGGATGAACTATCCGGGGCTAGTTGGTTCTCTTGTCTGGATTTAAGGGCCGGTTTCAACCAGATCCGCCTTGCCCCTAGGGAAGAACACAAGACTGCCTTCCAAACACATTGGGGCTAGTTCGAGTATACTGTCATGTCCTTCGGCTTAACTGGTGCCCCAAATTCCTTCCAAGGTGCTACGAACAATACATTATATCCCCTCCTTCGCAAGTGTGCCTTGGTGTTCTTCGACGACATCCTCGTGTACAGCGCCTCTTATGAAGACCATGTTAAGCACCTGGCTCAAGTTTTTGAGTTGCTTTCCAAGGACCAGTGGCTAGTTAAATTGTCCAAATGCCGTTTTGCTCAACAATCTATCAACTACTTGGGTCATGTCGTTAGTGCACAGGGAGTCTCCATGGATCCATCAAAGGTTGCTGCTGTGCAAGCCTGGCCACAACCATCTGATGCCAAGCAGCTCCGCAGCTTCCTCGGTCTCATAGGGTATTATCGGAAGTTCGTTAAGCACTATGCTGTGATTGCCAGGCCTTTAACTGATCTGCTCAAGAAGGGTGTGCTCTTTATTTGGACTGCCAACCATGCTATCGCCTTTGAAACTCTGAAGCAGGCTTTCACTGAAGCTCCAGTTCTGGCCCTGCCCGATTTTTCCAAGCCTTTCTAGCTGCAGACTGATGCAAGTGATGGCGGCATCGGGGCAGTCCTCCTTCAAGATGGTCACCCCTTGGCCTTTGTTAGTAAGTCACTTGGCCCTCGTTCGCACAGCTTATCTACTTATGAGAAGGAATACTTAGCTATTCTTGTGGCTGTGGACCATTGGAGATCCTACTTACAACATGTCGAGTTCACTATCTACACTGACCAACGAAGCCTGATGCATATTACTGAGCAGCGATTGCAGACACCGTGGCAAATGAAGCTTTACACCAAGCTTGTAGGACTACAGTTCAGGGTTGTCTATAAACCAGGGGCATCCAATTTGGTAGTAGATGCTCTCTCACAGCATCCTTTGCCTCCAGAACAGCTCAATGCAATTTCTTCTTCATCCCCAACATGGTTGTCAGATGTGGTGGCTGGCTATGATTCTGATCCCACCTCTCGCAAGTTATTGCAGGATCTGGCCCTTAACTATGATACCCATCCACCTTATTCTCTGATCAGTGGTGTTATTCCCATTGGAGATCGCATTTGGGTGGGTGACAACAAGACCCTCCAACTGAAAATTTTTGACGCATTGCATTCCAGTGTTATTGGTGGCCACCTGGGTTCCCTGTTACCTACGCCTGGATCAAGAAGTTGTTCGCTTGGAGGGGTATGAAGTCTGACATCAAACAACTGGTTGCTTCTTGTACAACCTATTTACAGGCCAAGTCCGATCATGCCAAGTACCCGAGACTACTTTCTCCACTGCCTGTACCCGCGGAGTCGTGGCAAGTCATCTCAATGGATTTCATCGAGGGGCTTCCCCACTCGGGAGTAGCTAATTACGTCATGGTCGTCGTCGACAAATTCAGCAAATTTGCCCACTTCGTGCCTCTCCTTCACCCATTCACCGCTCAACAAGTGGCTCAGGTCTTCCTTGACCATATTTACCGCTTACATGGCATGCCATCCCACATCATCTCCGACCACGACCGCATCTTCACCAGCCATTTCTGGAAGGAGCTGTTCCGTTTGGCCGGCACCAAGCTATGCATGAGCTCTGCCTACCACCCTCAATCCGATGGCCAGACGAAGTGGGTGAACCCGTGCCTCGAAGCCTTTCTCCGGTGCTTCGTCCACTCCTGCCCCAAGCAATGGCTGCGGTGGATTACCTTGGCGGAGTATTGGTATAACACCAGTCTCCATTCTTCACTCAACAGGTCGCCATTCGAGGTACTGTACGGACACCCTCCTCGCCACTTCGGCCTTTCACCTCCTGAAGCATCATCTGTAAAGGATGTTGAAACCATGCTTACTGAGCATTCCACTATGCTTGATTTGGTTCTCCAACATCTTCTCCGAGCTCAACTCGATTCGGTCGACCTCCACTGCTCAAACTAGATTAAGGTCAAATTATCGGCTCTACCTAAGGGTGGCGTCCCTCGGGTAGATTCATTAAGTTACCGATCTTGCTGATGTTCTTATTTTTATTAGTTTGCAGCAACATCAATCTGTCCGATCGAGATCGGTTTATTTGAATGGGTTGTGATGACCTTTGGTTTGAAGAATGCCGATGCAACTTATCAGAGGGCAATGAATTATATTTTTCATAAGTTGATCGTCAGGATTGTTGAAATCTACATTAACGATGTGATGATAAAATCCAAGGGGTACAAGGAACATCTAGCTAATTTGCGGGAGACTTTGGAGTGCACAAAAAAACATGGTCTAAAGATGAATCCTAATAAGTGTGCCTTTGGAGTATTAGCTGGACAATTTTTGGGTTTCATGGTCCATGAGAGAGGAATCGAAATTGGTCAAAAAAGTATGAAAGCAATTGATGAGGCAGTGCCCCCGACTACTAAAATAGAGTTACAATCTTTACTTGGTAAGATTAATTTTATCAGGAGGTTTATTTCAAATTTGTCGAAAAGAGTTATACCGTTTTCTCCCTTGTTGAAGTTGAAAAATGATCAAGAATTTAAGTGGGGTGACGCACAACAAAAGGCGTTTGAGGAGATAAAAGAATACATGAAATGTCCACCTGTGCTGGTCCCTCCTCAACAAGGTAAGCCTTTTAAGTTATACGTATCGGCCGATGACCAAACGATTGGATCGGCCTTAATGCAAGAGTTCGAAGGGAAATAACGAGTTGTTTTCTATCTCAGTAGAAGGCTTTTGGATCTAGAGACAAGATATTCTCCCATCGAAAAGTAATGCTTATGCTTATATTTCTCTTGCACTAAGTTAAGACATTACTTGTTGTCGGCTGAGTGTACAGTTATCTCCAAAACCGATGTGATCAAGCACATGCTATTAATGCTAATATTAAATGGAAGAATGGGAAAGTGGATTCTTGCGTTGTCAGAATTTGACTTGAGGTACGAATTGGCTAAAGCAGTCAAAGGGCAAGTAATAGCCGATTTTGTCACCCAGCATCATAAGCCAAGTGTTGGCTATGTAGATCCGGTACCCTGGACATTGTTCTTTGATGGGTCATCATGCAAGCAAGGTGGTGGCATTGGTATTGTTATTATTTCACCTTGGGGGGCAAGTTTTGAGTTTGCTTTCCCAACTGAACCAATGATTACCAACAACCAAGTAGAATATGAAGCTGTTCTTAAGGGGCTTTAACTTCTTCATGAAGTAAAGGCCGAGGCAATTGAAGTATTTGAAGATTCACAGTTAATTATTAATCAGTTGATCAACCTATATGAATGTAAAGAAGATACTCTGAGGGGATATTATGATATATGCCAAGGGTTGCTCGAGGAATTTCCTCGTGTCTCTCTTCAATATATTCCAAGAGCACAGAATCAAGAGGCTAATCGTTTAGCTCAAAGTGCGTCAGGTTATCGAGTGTTTCAAGAGGTCTTAAGTAGTGAAACCTTGAATAATGATTGGAGAATTAAAATAGCCGATTACCTTAGGAATCCATCACAAAAGGTTACCAGGAAGCTAAGGTATAAATCGACTAAGTATGTTTTACTAGATGATCAGCTATATTACAAAACAGTTGATGGAGTGTTGCTTAAATGCTTAAATCAAGAAGAAGCTAAGGTCTTGATGGGTGAAGTACATGAAGGGATATATGGAGCTCATCAATCGGCTTATAAGATGAAATGGATTATTCGCAAGACTGGATATTTCTGGCCAACAATACTGGAAGGCTGTTTTGAATATTATAAGGGGTGCCAGGACTGTCAATGTTTTGATAATGTTCAGAAATCACTCACATTGGCTATGAATCCAATAATCAAACCATGGCCGTTTTGAGGTTGGGGAATTGATCTAATTGGCCAGATTTTTCCACCTTCGAGTAAATGACATAAGTTCATATTGGTAGCAACAGATTACTTCACTAAGTGGGTTGAGGCAATTCCTTTGAAGACGGTAACCTCAAAGAACATGGCTGATTTTTGTCAAGAAGCATATTGTGTATCGTTTTGGGATTCCTCAAATTATCACTACCGATCAAGAGACAATGTTCACATCAGAAGAGTTTGGAGATTTTGCTGCCAGTATGGGAATCAAGTTGCTAAATTCTTCTCCTTAATATGCTCAGGCTAATGGCCAGACAGAGGCGTCCAATCAGATTATGATTAAGCTGATCAAGAAAAAGATTGAGGAGCAGCCAAGGAAGTGGCATTCGACGCTTAATGAGGCAATATGGGCATATAGGATGACCTGTCATGGATCGATTAAAACATCACCTTATGAACTTGTGTATGGTCATAATGCAGTCCTTCCTTAGGAAATTCAAACTGGATCGAGGCGTGTCACATTGCAAAATGATTTATCAACCGAAGTCTACAAGAATCTTATTATAGACAACTTAGAGGACTTGAGTTGCCATCGGTTGTATGCTCTTGAGAATATCAAAGCCAATAAACTGAACATTGCAAAGTATTACAATAAAAAGGTCAAGAGTAAACAATTTTCTAAAGGAGACTTAGTCTGAAAAGTGAAATTGCCGATCGGGTCAAAGGACAGCAAGTTC